GCGCCAGCCCCGCCCCGCCCAGCCCTAGGCTCCGCCCCGTCGTCCTCAAGGGCCCGCCCACTCGCCCGAGCCCCGCCCCCGGTCGGGCGCCGCCGCCCCCTCCGTCCGCCACCCGTTTTCGCGCGCGCTCACTCGGTGCCCCGCGCTCGGCCTAGTCCTCTCCCGCCCCTGCCTGCCGCGCCGCGCAGACAATGGGACTGGGCCTGCGCTTCCTCCCCGGCAGACTGACGGAAGCATCTTGTAAAAATAGCTCGCGGCCCGAACCTCCGCCCTGCCCTGCCCTGCCGCGCGGGTCGGAGCAGCTGGAGCCCTAGACCCCTCCGGTTCTCGCGCCGCGGGGCGGGGGCGCAGCGCCCGCCGAGGTCGGGCCCGGGGTGGGGCCACGGGGAAGGGCGCTCAGCCCGAAGCGCGACCCGCCTAGCCTTCCCGCGCCAGTTGGGGCAACGCCCGCCGTTGCTTTCCCGCGGGAGCTCCACGGAAGCCCCGCAGGCCCAGCTGGAGTGAGACTCCCTGGCCCTCCTGGGCTACCTGATCTTACAGCACCCCCTGCACCGGTGGAGGGGAAGGAGCCCCCTCGCCCATAGGCTTCACTTTGCTCTGGGTGCCCGGAACATACTTGGGCTGGGAAAGCCTGTAGCTTCAGGTGGGCAGCACCGTGACCGCACCGGCCAGCGTCCCCAGGTCTGCCTCCTGCCAGGCGTACCTGAGACTTTGTTCTTGCAGGCACTGTAACAAAAGCTCATCTTCAAACAGTGCAATCAAAAAAATAAAAAATAAAAAAATCCCCCCTAAAAAGCTCATCTTCTCTGGGCAGGGTGGGTGCTGAGAGCCCTTCTGGGTGACATCAGATGACAGCCACAGCCCGCAGACACCTGCTGAGGAAGTAAAGAGGACTGAAAAACATGTATGTGTGTGCACGCATAGGTGTGTGCCCGAGTGCCTCTTAGGAGGTGACACTGAAATAAACAGGAATGTTCAGATGTTAATATAGAAAAGGACACACTGCCATTAATCCCCTCAGCACCCTCTGCCTGGTCCAAGCACCCTCTTGTCCCCCCCCCCCCCCTTCTGGAAGCCTTCTTTGGTGCAAGGCTGGCTCCTGCGCACGCGGCAGTGCGTCCTCACGCACCTCAGCCATCAGGTCAGGAGCTCTGTAACTTCTGGCTCCAGAGTCAAAACAAGCACGAAAGGGTAACCTGTTGAATCAATTCAGGACATCAAGACAGCATGGCAGTGTAGCCAAAGACAGGGAAGAGGACTCCCACAAGGCTTCAGGAGGTGACAGTGGGCAAGGGCGCTGAGGGAGCGTCATGAGGGGGATGGATGACAAGCGTCTTCTAGTGTAGCAATTCAATAAGTTCCTTTTGCTACCTTCTCTTCACAAGCTTGGATGAATTATACTATTTCCTTTGCACCAAAACACATAGGAAGGCCACTGCTGTCCAAAGAAGGACAGCCGGCTATGCTGTTTCTTAATTTAATGGAGAATAACACAGTAGGCTGCCTTAATTCAGTGGGAAAGGGCTGGGATTCCACTCAAACTGAGTTGGTCAAAAACAGAATACATTCACTGGCACAACCACATGGTTCAGGATAAGCATTCTCTTCATGTGTGGCTGGATCCAGGATCTTAAAGGCAGACTTTGGATCAAGTCTTCTCCTCTGTTTTGCTCTGTGTTGATTTTTTTTTTTTTTTCCAACTGGCATTGCTGAGCCCACATCCTTTAGATCAAAGAAGAAGAAAGGTATACCTATTTTTTCTGGTAATTGTGGAGCACACACCCCTTGTGTGGTACTGTACTAGTCCACATGATTGAGTCCACTGATTGATGGAACCCTGGGCTAAACTTTGGTGCTTCCCAAAGAGCCAGGGCATTGTTACTCAAAGAGCAAACGACAGTGAGTAAGTAGAAATACAATTCTATGCAATGCCCTATAATGTCATCTCTCTAACTGGAGACTCTGGGAGGGCAGGATTTTGTGTCTTCCAGTGCTTGTGTTGGATGCCTTTGGGGGCTTCCCTGCAAATAAGCAGCTTCTCCGTGTGTTTACCCTCGCTTGGTCTTTCCTCTCTATGACAGATGGGGCTGAGGCTGGGATCCCTTGAAGAACGAGTCCTGAGCCCTTAGAGAGGGACAGTGTGGCCTGGCAGCCTCTTCTCTGCCCCCACAAATGGCCTGGTCACAGGCCGCCTCTGTATCACGGCTCTGCCTGAGTCAGGCGGTGCCTTGACCGCTGTGCTAGGGGGAGGGGTGTATTTTGGTGAAGCACCCCACAGGCTGTCTCAGTGCTGTGATTACTACCACTTGCCTCATGGCTGTAACCGCACCCCCTGCATTTTGCACCCCCACGGCTGGATTTGGCAATCAAGGGCTGTCTGTTGTCCAGTAGAAAAAGCAGACTAATAGACATTAATAGAACCTTCCAGAACAGAGCCATTAAATAGCAACTCACCATAATTGAATAGCAGGTGCTCTACACTCTAATTTCACTCACCAGGTGATAAGTTGACTTTACAGTTGATAATTTAACTTCTAACACGTAAAAAATGTCATTTGCTTGAGTCAACTAGAAGCTTTCCTTCAAATATAGATTTCTGTCTGCTGAAAAGCATTAGAGAACAGAAGCAGTGTTTACAGCCTCTCCTGTAAACCTACATGGCCCGGTCAGTCTGGCTCTCCTAGCCCAACACCACAGCCGATGCCCTGGGCCCGGCAGAGGCGCAGTGGATACTATGCCGTCCCACCTATTCCAGCCACGTGCCAGGGGCCGCTGTCCATCCCTGAAGATGATTACCTCTACCAGCCTTCTCTTCTGCACGTGCTCGACTTTACATCCAGAGAAGGACCCAGTTATTTCAAGGGGACAGAAGCAGTAACTTGCAGGGACTTTGCAATTGTGTTCTCTGAAGGGCTTGGGAATGCCGCGGACGAAAAGGGCTCTCTAGTGGATCTAGTAAACAGGCCGTGCTTCTCGCTGGTGGACAGGTTGGACTGCAAGGCGAGCCACCTAGCCGCCCCAGGACCTTTCAGGGATGCGCGGTATGGTTTCCTTCTTCGCACTATCCTCTCACCTGCCGCGCTGAGCTCCCGCTGGTTCTTGGCCCCACGTTCTGTCCCAGGGCAGGAGCGCCCTCTACTGAGCCTGCGGTGTAACAGGAAGAGGTTTCCGCAGAGGATCCTTGGCCTGCTGCTGCTTACAAAATGTTCGGTCTGTGTTTGCGGCAATCATGAATGGATGGGGACAGCCTACCCTGTTCTCTATCGCGGTGGGCTTTCACCTCTGTAGTCGCACGTGCTACACTCGGAATGGAACAAGCATGCCTGTGTGCCTCGAAGCTCAGAGCACGGGGCATTACACTCAGAGGCCGAGTCTGTGGGGAACAGGCGAGCTATTTGCCAGGAAGAAGCTGTGGAAGCCAGGTAGGGTGCGAAAGGATGTGAGCCAGAGGCCTCGCAAAGCATCCCGAACTGATGGACAAGATCGGAAGCAGGAAGTGGACGCTGCCTCTCCAGAGGCAGGCCTGGGCATACGCATGCGGAGGATAAAGCCAGGTGGCCAGGATCGCAGCCCTCTCCCGGGAGACTGG